AAATTTCAACTGTCCACTCATTTTAGTTTTTGAGTGAAAAAATTATTTATAAAGTTTTACTTTACAAACCATCATTATTTTTAAAAAATCATAACTCTATTAATAATAACTCAATTACATTCAGTTTTTAGTATTTTTTACATTGAACCTTTAGGAAAAAGTTTTCAAAATTTCAACTGTCCACTCATTTTAGTTTTTGAGTGAAAAAATTATTTATAAAGTTTTACTTTACAAACCATCATTATTTTTAAAAAATCATAACTCCATTAATAATAACTCAATTACATTGAGTTTTTAGTATTTTTTACATTGAACCTTTAGAAAAAAGTCCTCAAAATTTCACTCTCCTCTGACTTTAGTTTTTGAGTGAAAAAATTGTTTGTAAAGTCTTACTTTACAAAATATCATTATTTTTAAAAAATCATAACTTCATTAATAATAACTCAATTACATTGAGTTTTTAGTATTTTTTACATTGAATCTTTAGGAAAAAGTCCTCAAAATTTCAATTTTCCACTCACTTTAGTTTTTGAGTGAAAAAATTGTTTGTAAAGTCTTACTTTACAAAATATCATTATTTTTAAAAAATCATAACTCCATTAATAATAACTCAATTACATTGAGTTTTTAGTATTTTTTACATTGAACCTTTAGGAAAAAGTCCTCAAAATTTCAACTGTCCACCTCATTTTAGTTTTGAGTGAAAAAATTATTTATAAAGTTTTACTTTACAAACCATCATTATTTTTAAAAAATCATAACTCCATTAATAATAACTCAATTACATTGAGTTTTTAGTATTTTTTACATTGAACCTTTAGGAAAAAGTCCTCAAAATTTCAACTCTCCTCTGACTTAGTTTTTGAGTGAAAAAATTGTTTGTAAAGTCTTACTTTACAAAACATCATTATTTAAAAAAAATCATAACTCTATTAATAATAACTCAATTACATTCAGTTTTTAGTATTTTTTACATTGAACCTTTAGGAAAAAGTTTTCAAAATTTCAACTGTCCACTCATTTTAGTTTTTGAGTGAAAAAATTATTTATAAAGTTTTACTTTACAAACCATCATTATTTTTAAAAAATCATAACTCCATTAATAATAACTCAATTACATTGAGTTTTTAGTATTTTTTACATTGAACCTTTAGGAAAAAGTCCTCAAAATTTCAACTCTCCACTGACTTTAGTTTTTGAGTGAAAAAATTGTTTGTAAAGTCTTACTTTACAAAACATCATTATTTAAAAAAAATCATAACTCTATTAATAATAACTCAATTACATTCAGTTTTTAGTATTTTTTACATTGAACCTTTAGGAAAAAGTTTTCAAAATTTCAACTGTCCACTCATTTTAGTTTTTGAGTGAAAAAATTATTTATAAAGTTTTACTTTACAAACCATCATTATTTTTAAAAAATCATAACTCCATTAATAATAACTCAATTACATTGAGTTTTTAGTATTTTTTACATTGAACCTTTAGGAAAAAGTCCTCAAAATTTCAACTCTCCACTGACTTTAGTTTTTGAGTGAAAAAATTGTTTGTAAAGTCTTACTTTACAAAACATCATTATTTAAAAAAAATCATAACTCTATTAATAATAACTCAATTACATTCAGTTTTTAGTATTTTTTACATTGAACCTTTAGGAAAAAGTTTTCAAAATTTCAACTGTCCACTCATTTTAGTTTTTGAGTGAAAAAATTATTTATAAAGTTTTACTTTACAAACCATCATTATTTTTAAAAAATCATAACTCCATTAATAATAACTCAATTACATTGAGTTTTTAGTATTTTTTACATTGAACCTTTAGGAAAAAGTTTTCAAAATTTCAACTGTCCACTCATTTTAGTTTTTGAGTGAAAAAATTATTTATAAAGTTTTACTTTACAAACCATCATTATTTTTAAAAAATCATAACTCCATTAATAATAACTTAATTACATTGAGTTTTTAGTATTTTTTACATTGAACCTTTAGGAAAAAGTTTTCAAAATTTCAACTGTCCACTCATTTTAGTTTTTGAGTGAAAAAATTATTTATAAAGTTTTACTTTACAAACCATCATTATTTTTAAAAAATCATAACTCCATTAATAATAACTCAATTACATTGAGTTTTTAGTATTTTTTACATTGAACCTTTAGGAAAAAGTTTTCAAAATTTCAACTGTCCACTCATTTTAGTTTTTGAGTGAAAAAATTATTTATAAAGTTTTACTTTACAAACCATCATTATTTTTAAAAAATCATAACTCCATTAATAATAACTCAATTACATTGAGTTTTTAGTATTTTTTACATTGAACCTTTAGGAAAAAGTTTTCAAAATTTCAACTGTCCACTCATTTTAGTTTTTGAGTGAAAAAATTATTTATAAAGTTTTACTTTACAAACCATCATTATTTTTAAAAAATCATAACTCCATTAATAATAACTCAATTACATTGAGTTTTTAGTATTTTTTACATTGAACCTTTAGGAAAAAGTCCTCAAAATTTCAACTCTCCACTGACTTTAGTTTTTGAGTGAAAAAATTGTTTGTAAAGTCTTACTTTACAAAACATCATTATTTAAAAAAAATCATAACTCTATTAATAATAACTCAATTATATTCAGTTTTTAGTATTTTTTACATTGAACCTTTAGGAAAAAGTTTTCAAAATTTCAACTGTCCACTCATTTTAGTTTTTGAGTGAAAAAATTATTTATAAAGTTTTACTTTACAAACCATCATTATTTTTAAAAAATCATAACTCCATTAATAATAACTCAATTACATTGAGTTTTTAGTATTTTTTACATTGAACCTTTAGGAAAAAGTTTTCAAAATTTCAACTGTCCACTCATTTTAGTTTTTGAGTGAAAAAATTATTTATAAAGTTTTACTTTACAAACCATCATTATTTTTAAAAAATCATAACTCCATTAATAATAACTCAATTACATTGAGTTTTTAGTATTTTTTACATTGAACCTTTAGGAAAAAGTTTTCAAAATTTCAACTGTCCACTCATTTTAGTTTTTGAGTGAAAAAATTATTTATAAAGTTTTACTTTACAAACCATCATTATTTTTAAAAAATCATAACTCCATTAATAATAACTCAATTACATTGAGTTTTTAGTATTTTTTACATTGAACCTTTAGGAAAAAGTCCTCAAAATTTCAACTCTCCACTGACTTTAGTTTTTGAGTGAAAAAATTGTTTGTAAAGTCTTACTTTACAAAACATCATTATTTAAAAAAAATCATAACTCTATTAATAATAACTCAATTATATTCAGTTTTTAGTATTTTTTACATTGAACCTTTAGGAAAAAGTTTTCAAAATTTCAACTGTCCACTCATTTTAGTTTTTGAGTGAAAAAATTATTTATAAAGTTTTACTTTACAAACCATCATTATTTTTAAAAAATCATAACTCCATTAATAATAACTCAATTACATTGAGTTTTTAGTATTTTTTACACTGAACCTTTAGGAAAAAGTCCTCAAAATTTCAACTTTCCAGTTACTTTAGTTTTTGAGTGAAAAAATTGTTTGTAAAGTATTACTTTACAAAATATCATTATTTAAAAAAAAAATCATAACTCTATTAATAATAACTCAATCGCTTTGAGTTTTTAGTATTTTTTATATATGATTTTCTCATCATCGATTACCCCCTCCAGATAATCATGTATGGACCGCCATTGTTAGTGATAATTTTCTCTATAATTTTTGGTGTTTCAGGTTGGAAAATTTAGTGTGCACTGAGTGTATTTCCATCTCTTTCTTTCAGCGTGTAGAGGAAAGAGATAGAAATATATTTTCATTGCACTAATTTGCCAAAGCTTCAAAGTCTTTTGACAGATTTTTATCTAAAATGACACCAACACACATTTTGGCTGGGTTCCGTTGCCAATCTTGGTTACGGTTACACGTTCTGGGCCTGGATTCCGAACCTACGATTCAATAGTATCGTCTATCTATTTTATATAGACGATACTATCGAATCGTAGGTTCGGAATCCGGGCATCCTGGTTCCTGAAAAACCAGTCTATACGGAACGCGGTTGATTATGTCAAACATTTCACCAAGGCAATTTGCGGTGGTTCTGCGATTGGAAAAGCATTCCGTATGAAACCGAAATTTTCAGGAACCACTCGTCAATCGTTGTCAACCGCTGTATACCGACGTTATTCCGACCGGTCAACCAGGTAAAGCAACGGAACCCACTTCACAATTTTGTTAATTTCAATCAGTGGCGGTCCATACATGATTATCTGGAGGGGGTAATCGATGATGAGAAATACCAAAAATTCAAAGCATTTGAGTTATTATTAATGGAGTTACGATTTTTTGAAAATAATGATGTTTTGTAAAGCAAGACTTTACAAACAATTTTTTCAGTCAAAAACTAAAATGAGTGGAAAGTTGAAATTTTGAGGACTTTTTTTCTAATGATTCAATGTAAAAAATACTAAAAATACAAAGCGATTGAGTTATTATTAATGGAGTTACGAGTAGGTATGTCGGTACAGGCAAACTTTGGTACTGGTGAGCCTATTAATTTATACAATGCTTTATTTTGTAGAACTTGTCTCTTATTGTAATTTTCTTGTAATTAATAAATGTATCAAAAAAAATCTTTGGGAGTGGTAATTACCCCTTCTACCCCCCCCCCCCCCTTTAAACCGCCCTGGATTTCAATCCGGTTTTAATGTAATTAGGCTTAAAATTCTCTACAAATTTCCTGAGAATGATTTCAATGCAATTTCAATAGTGTCATGTAGATTTATACTTGGAACTGCTGTATTGTTTTTCCATCTCTGTTCTTCTCATCAAGAGGAAAAAAGATGAAAGGTGCTCTCTCTGACTTATAACTGAGAAATTTTAGTATTGGGATTTTCATTTATCACTTAAATAACAACTTTTGTAATCAAAGCACTCTTTGATTTATTTATTTTTCCATTATAAGTTATATTTGCTTTACATAATCAATTCCAGGTTAGAATACAGTGTTGCTCACAAACACTTGGTGCAAGCTATGAGAAAGGCCCCCCAAAACACTGCTGTAGGCTTCAGGCAAACTGTTCAAAAACTTCTGGTTGTAGTAGAGCTTCTCCTAGGTGATATTCCTGAAAGACAGATTTTCAGGCAACCTGCCATGCGTCACTCGTTGAGCTCCTACTTCCAACTCACTCAAGCAGTACGTATGGGCAACTTGCAACGATTTGGAGAAGTTTTGGAAAACTTTGGGCCCCAATTCAGGCAGGATCATACTTATACATTAATCTTGCGCTTGCGCCATAACGTCATCAAAACTGCTCTTAGAAGTATTGGCCTAGCTTATTCGAGAATCTCTTTGCAAGATATTGCACAAAAGTTAGGCTTGGATTCAGCTGAAGATGCTGAATTCATTGTGGCAAAAGCCATAAGGGATGGGGTTATTGAGGCCACATTAGACGCTGAGGGTGGCTATATGAGAAGCAAGGAAACTACGGATATTTATTGTACTAAAGAACCACAGATGGCGTTCCATCAAAGAATATCTTTTTGCTTGGATTTGCATAATCAGAGTGTTAAGGCCATGAGGTATAGTACTTATGTGATAAAGTATATAGATTATTTATTGTTTGTTTTTGTAGGTATCCACCTAAAGCTTACGGTAAAGAGTTGGAAAGTGCCGAAGAAAGACGCGAACGTGAAGCGCAAGATCTTGAATTGGCAAAGGAAATGGCGGAAGAAGACGATGATGGATTTCCTTGAAAAAATAACTAAAAACAATGCTTTGATTATTATTTGTATTAATTAATTGTCTTAAATTTAATAATAAACATATTTTTCTTTTGAAGAATTTATACTTTTAGAGTTTTTTCTGCTAAATAAAGACTTGAAACTGAAATCTGTATTGAGTTTTTAAACAATTACAGTTTTGTACTACTTTAGATAGATGTCGTCACATTGGTGGATAGTAGGATACTGATACAAAAACTACAGAAATTTATTTTAAGTCGAATAGAAAAAACCTATTTTCCATTTTTAAGAAATGTATTCTTGCATTTTAATGATATTTAATTATAAGATTTGTTTCTTTATTAATTAAATGATTAAATACAACTAGATTTCAATAAATAAAACATTATTGTTGCAAAAAAACCGTCAAGAGTGTCTTTTTTTTGTTGTATTTTATATTTTTTCTTATCTTTTTCCAATGTGGAGCCACTTTGAGTTAAAATGGTATTCAAATAGTAAAAATATGGTTAGGTAGAAAATAATTGGGTCAAATCAAAAATCTACTTTAGTGAATTCAGGATTTAAATTTTTCAATAATTAAATTATAATAGAATCTAGTATTCAAATTTCATTGAAAAATCCTTTACATATAAAGTGTGTATGGAAATAATTTAAAAATAGTAATTATAATTTTTTTTAAAATTTGTCCAATTTTGCCGCCATAAAATCAGATGTTTTTGAATTATTGTCCGAGGGTGGTCGAGTGGTTGTGAGTGTTTGTTCCTCCAAAACCATACAAATCCCTTAATAATTTCAAATAAAATCCTGCAGAAAATAAAATACACCCTTTATTATTGGGACACCAGTCCAGTTTAATTTAAATCGATTGATTTGAAAGTCAGTGTCACACAGTTTTTTTTTTTATATAGTGTGGCTTTTTCTCGAATAGTAAATTTTAAACCCCCTTTATTCAAGTACAAGCAAAGTTTAGGATAAGTGAATACAAATGAGGCTTACATCTAGTGCACCCTGTATATTATTATGTTCCTGAATGCTGCGATTGTAAGTATGAGGCTTGCTTTTGCTTTTTTTGAGGTTATCTCGTTTTGAAAATACGATTTTGGGGGCCACAATGTGTATTAAGTAATGATGGTTTATTTAAAATTGAATGTTTGTGTTCCAAACTATTTTTTGCAATATGAGTATTTTAGGTTTGTGAACTTTTTCTGATAGTCAAATTAACCATCAGAAAAGAAATGTAATAGAATAGTTGATGTAGGTATAGTCTTTTTAAAGTCAATTGAAACAAGGTAAAGATACATTAAAACTGGGTGGCATTAAATTTCTTATGAAAATATTCAGTCACCAGTTGTGATTTATCTTCACATTGTTTCAACTGACTTCAAAAAGACTATACCTATTCTATTAGCACTCCAAATAGCCAATAGAATAGATGTAGGATACGGGGTGTTTTCTAATTAAATGTCAATATTTAAGGGAGCAAATTTTGGGTCCATTTTAGAAAGAAAACTTCATTTTCCATGTTCTTATGTCCTTAAAGTCTTAGCTTTTAAAATATAGGGTGAAGTTTTCAAAAATAAATCATCTACCTACATCACATCAAATATCTTAATACAATTTGGCATAATATGCAGTGGCGGTCCATACATGATTTTCTGGGGGGGGTAATGGATGGAAAATCATCAAGTATCGCAACATACGTACCGCCAGAGGCGACTTTTTTTTTTGGGGTGCCACGCCCAAATTTGCTCCCGTAAGTAGGGATAGCAAAAATATATCGATATTTTGTAAATATCGATATATGTATTACTGAAATATATCGATATATTTTAATCGATATCTTACATTCGATATATCGAAAAAAATATCGATATAATCTTTTCGATATCTCATGCCACTGTGTATGAAAAAAATTTAAATAGGAAAGTTGAATTGCTTGAAAAATAGTTCTCAGAAAACATAGTTTTGTTCATACAGGGTGTTGCAAAAAGTTTAAAAAACAAAAAAATATATTTTTTCAAATGGGACACCCTGTATATTATGACATTTCTGGATTCTGCGGAAAATTCTAGACTATTTCATGTCATATACCTATCTTGAACTGTTTCGGAAATAATGACAGTAGAAAATTGACTCTTTTGCTACTTTGATAGGCTGTAAAACCTTACCTGTTAATTTTACAGCAAAACCGATTTTACATTCTTATCGACAGCTTTTCATAAGCCAGCATTTGACACCAACTTTGAATTTAACCGGAGATTAAATTTAATTGGAATTTTTAATCATGGATTAAATTTAAAGTTGGTGTCAAATGATATTTTACAGTCCGTCAAAGATGTAAAAAAGTCAATTTTCTACTGTCATTATTTCCGAAACAGTTGAACTTAGGTATATGACATTATACATGTCTAGAATTTTCCGCAGAATCCAGAAATGTCATAATATATAGGGTGTCCCATTTAAAAAAAAATATTTTTTTGTTTTTTAAACTTTTTGCAACACCCTGTATAAACTATGTTGTCTGAGAACTATTTTTCAAGCACTACAACTTTCCTTTTTAATTTTTTTTATACACAGTGGCACAAAAAAGTTAAGTTGATGGGAAAATATAAAAAATGACCCTGTACGTACCAATTGAATGAGGAAAAGAGACTTTCCGCCTAATTGGGAACGTTATTTTTCTACAATCGTGCGGAATAGTAGTTTTCTGCACGCATTTTAGGGCATGAAAGTATCAGGATGACCTAACATTGCATATTTATTCTACTTTTCCATTTTCCAAACTAGTGCGGAAAAGTGATAGTTTCATGACCTAAAATGCCTGAAGAAAAAAAGCACTTTTCACACGATCGTAGAACAAAAATAAAAATAAAATATATATCGATATATTCAAAATATCGATGTTTTTCGTTCGATATATCGAATGTATCGATATGTTGTTTCGATATATCATATGATTCGATATATCGATATATTTTTCTATTTTGCCATCCCTACCCGAAAGTGGTTTAAAAAACACGCTTCGGGCAAAAATATATCCCGATGCCGTCAAAATAGTTATACAGGGTGTCCACTTAGTGCGATACCGGACGATATCTTCTTACAGGGTGATGCAAGAAAAAATAAATAAAAATTCAAAGTTGTTTGATTCTCTAAGGTGCATTACTTAAAAATATTTTATATAGGGTTCTCTGTAAATGTGGTATGCGACAGAACTTTATTATTTTTAAATGGAACACCCTATATTTTAGTACATTCTATCGTTTTAAAAATCCTACATACTTTTTGTTAGGAATCATCTATACCAAAACTCAACCGTTTTTAAAAAATACCTCCTCGCTCCTCATACGCAAAGTGTCTTTTTGAAAACGACGTACGTTACTTACATTTAATTCTTGGTCCTATGAAAATCTATTGTTAACATTCTACAGGGTGTTCGCAATACTGTACACAAAACCAGACGTTTCAAACAACCATAGCACTGTATAGTAGTAGGTACGCAAGGTTATTTGAGAGAGGTAGGTTGCCTGATAACTTCATGTCGTCATCTGGGGTGCCTCAACATAATGCAAATTTGCATAAGGCATCCCAGATGCGTCATCAAGTTACCCATTACCAGACAACCTATGAACTTTAAGAACCTTGGTAGATACGTCGGTACTGGTGAGCCTATCATATTCATACGATAGCTTTAATCCTTTACTTTGTAAAACTTGTCTTTTGTCTTTTGTTGAAATTTTCTTGTAATTAATAAATGTATAAAAAAAAAATTTGTCTGGGGGGGGTAATTACCCCCTCTACCCCCCCTTTTAAACCGCCCTTGATAATATGTACCTATTATGTGTCAAGAAGCATTTTTTATTTTATCACATTTTTCTTAATATCTACCAGTGGCGTTCATACAGAATTTGACCTGCCTATTTTAGCATAGATTGGTGCAGTGGCGTAGATAGGGGAAGATCAAAGGGATCAATTCTCCCCCCATGAGTTTACCAAAATTTATTTATTTATTTTATTTATTCAATTCTTTACAAACACCATATAGAAAAACAGTAATTATATGCAAAGAATAGACACTAGGGTCTCAAAAAAAAATACTTAACAACTAGAACCAGATTAAAAATTATTAAAAAACAAAAGGTAAAAAAGGACATGATGTACATATAAAATATATCACACTAATTTATCACAAACAACATAATTGACCAGGTGTGTATAAAATCAATTCATAACTCATTTAACATTTAACACTTATATAATTAACAAGTAAACAGTAACCTGATTTCTTTGGCATTAGTTTTAAATATATCAAAATCTTTAGACTCTGACAAAGCATTACAATTTGCCAGCATATTATTTAGTGGAGATATACTTCCCTGAGTTACAAAGAATGTTTTTTTATTAAGGATTCTTAGATTAGGTTTAGGAACATTGAATTTAATGAAATTAATAATCTTGCAATAATTATAGTTTAAGTCATTTACAATAAAAAATACAAACAAAACTGCATTTTGATTCCTTCTATCAAATAGAATTGTATAACTAAAACCCTCGAGCAGACTCCTATATGAAAGCATGTAAGGATAAGTACCATTTTCCCTGTAAAAGAGATACCTCAAAAATCGCTTTTGCACCCTTTCGATAAAATCAATATTAGAAGCTGCCTTAGGGCTCCAAATATTTGAGGCATACTCTATGTGAGGCCTAACCAGTGAGATATAAAGCAACTTTATGGTTGAAGTGTTAAAATTTCCAGAGTCCCTAAATCTTTAACATTGTATTTTCTGTCAAGTGTTTTGTTCTCTATTTCATAATCATATACAACATAATTGATTTTCCTTGTATATGTCATTACATTGCATTTGTCTATGTTGAGGTACATACCGTTTTCATAAAGCCAATTTGATACCGCATCAATGTCAGACTGCAACTGAGCACAATCAGATTCATTTGATATTGTTTTGAAAATCTTTAAATCATCAGCATAAAGAAGTCCTGTTGACTCTTTTAAAACATTGGTCACGCCATTTATATGCAATAAAAAAAGCAAGGGACCAAGGTTGCTGCCCTGTGGTACGCCGGATGTGCTGATGTATTCTTTAGAGAAATATTTACCAATTTTAACTTTTTGTGGCCGCTGTAATAAGTATGACTTGATAAATGTATATGCCCTTTCGGAAAAACCCAAATTGACAAGCTTATGCAATAGAATTTCATGGCTCACCTTATCAAAGGCTTTTGAGCAATCAGTATAAATAACATCTAGTTGTTTACCACTTTCGATTGCCATGGAAGCATACTCGGAAAAAACACACAGGTTTGTAGTAGTCGAGCGTCCCTTAAGAAATCCATGCTGAAAATTTGTGATTTCTGGTTGTACCAATTTGTTAATTTGATCATATAAAATCAACTCAAACAATTTTGCTAGTGTATTAATTAAAGTTATGGGTCGATAATTATTGACATCACTGATTTTACCTTTTTTAAAAATTGGTACTACAACTGCAGTTTTTAGTTCTTCTGGAAACTTATTGCAATTTATGGCCAAATTAAATAAGAAAGATAACGGTTGTGCAAGCTGTTCAGCATACCCTTTAAATATATAGCTAGGAATACCATCTACACCTGTGGATCTTTTTGGTTTAAGCAGCTTTATGCCTTCTTTCACTAAACTTTCAGAGATGCATTCAAATTCGAAATTGCCCCAATTCAGATTATCTAGTGAATGCATAGAACCATTTTCATACACCGATTTAAAATAATTTGCAAAGGCTTTAGCAATATCCTCTGGATCATTAAAGATGGCGTTTTCATATGTAACTTCTTCCGGTATTACATTCTGACCTCTCTTACTGCGAACAAATGACCAGAATCCACTAGGATCATTTATTAAGTTGCTTTCTACACTTTTTTGGTACTCAGCATATCCCTTTTTCACATCTTTTTTAATTTGCTTCCTAAGGTGAAGGTACTCATTAAATTTTTCATTACTAACTTTATTTTTCTTAACTAGTTTATGCAAATGATTCTTACGCTTAATT